ACATTTCAAAGATTAAAGATTTAGAGATGGAGGGAGCCATGATGATGAGTTCAGATGTGGTCCCATGTTTAGGCTCTTGATGTCATTTTACTTTACTGTAAGGATTGTGGTATTTGAAATTCACCAACCATGCAGCTTCTCAACATATATATATATATATATATATATATATATATGAATAATAACGTGACTGATCCAACCCTCCAGTCTCTGATTTCTAATAATTTCTAAATCACATTTTTAAAAGGTTGTGTATGTTGAGGAGCAACCAGACTGTATTCATTCAGGACTGCTAAACCTTTGTTGAAAGATGCAAAATAGAGATAACCAATAATTCCTCTCTTTTTCACCCTACTGACAACTGCTTACAACCAGGGTAAAATCTCTTTTTGCCTTCCATCTACAGTTGCTTATCTTTTCACAGGTATCTCTGTAAAAAAGAGGCATTGAGTGAAAAAATAACAACATTTTCTGCACAGAAAAGTGGTCAAAATAACCAATTTACCATGAAAATACATTGTAGATGCATCTGTCCTCCATCCATCCATTCATCCTTACATCTGTGCACCCTTTGATGTCACTATTTTGAGCTGGATGCAGATAAAAAGGTTATCTAAAAGAACCAGCAAGCCTGTTTCTCAGACAAGCAGTCACCTTGTGCCCTTAAAGACTTCAGACCACCACTGATAACCCACCAGCAGCACCACTGCTCCAGATACATTATCAGCCCTCAGAGCTCTACTCCCGACCTCCAGCAGAGACGTACCCCATATGACATGCAAGAAAATATGTGATGGTCTTCCAGCCACAGATAATGTTGCCAATAATGCAAGCTTAACATGATTTGGTTTTTTTTTTTTTTCTGTTGTCGTAATATTTTGCTAAGATTATACTTGAGTAATAAGAAAATATTATTTATATCACACATTTCATGCAACACAATACAATGGGCTTCACAAAAAAAAAAACAACACATGAAATACAGATACAAAAGATAGGAACATTAGAAACATACAACAGCAAAAAGGATTATATTTAAAAGGAGACTTGAAGGACTTAAAAGCAAAGGAAACTAATAATAAATAATTCTCAATTAATATTGTTGGTGAGGTAAACGTAAAGTAAAGGTAGTTAAAACATGTTAGCAGATCATCTGTTGATGTGTTGGGAGCATAAACTCTGAGGCTGTTCACAGCTTGCCTATAGGTGTGAACTTCCACATCATGCCATATCTACTGTACATCCATGTCTACGACATATTAAAATAGTATTCTGCTGGAGCTTGTACCACTGCACAAACATTCTTGTATAAAGATTTTTCAGTGGGTGTGGGTAAACTGCAGGAGTGGAGGTCAGTGGGGTGACCTTCCTTTTCCACCGCTGCTGCTTCTCCTTCGTTCCCACTACACTTTACATTCCCAAACATCTAACTCACCATCTGAGCCTACGTCAGTGCGCCCTGACTCACAGCGCTGCACACATACACACACACACACACAAATATGCAGAAACACACACGCAACAAAATCACAATTACACAAACTTTTACAGGACTTGGCAACAATGCCATTTTTCATGATCTGGTGACCTGCAGCTACATTTCCTATTTCCACCACAGCACCAACCATCCAGGAAGTCTGTATCCAGCTTGCAACAACACAGAGCCAAGGCCTTTGGGGTGTTTTTGTATGGTTATAAATGGGTTGTCAGAGTGTCTGTACATCTCTTGCTACTCAGGGTAAAGTCAACAGCTCTGGGGGTCATTCATTAATCTGCAATGCCTGGGCTGACATGTGCAAGAGTGCCAGACTGCCTGTAACCCTTCACAATCAGTGATACCAGAGGGACCGAGAGAGGAGAGAAGAATAAGGGAAAACTGTCAGCTCTGCTGCTCCTTAGTCTCGTGCTCTTTCTTGTCTCTTTCCATCTCCCCTTCTTTTTATCAACATTTGTTACGCCGTCGGTCTCTGTTAGCCCGTTCTGTCATCCATCACAGTCTCAATTCCTGGCCGGTTCTATGCTATTTTAGCCTATTACATCCAGCAAAAACAAAGAATATGGATAAAAAAAAACCAACAAAAGAGATGGACAGTTTGAAAAACAAAGCAGACATCAGCAAAGAGAAAAGAAGAAAAAAAAACACAGTATAGCCCTCATAACCACAGTTGATTCAGTATTATTTTAGAGACACTTTCCAACCATGCTTTCAGATATGGATGGTCACCTTACCTTGGCATCACCCCTTTATTGAGCTACTGTTGAACTGCTGAATCAATACAAACATCCAATATCTATGGACAGAGGTCCTGCTCTCTATAAAAGTTGAAACTGAAAGTACATTTTTTGGTTTAGGGTTAGATCATGGAAACAGTAGGCAACAATATGACTGTTGTCTGTTGAGGAACGTTATACAATGTTATACAATCAAAAGATCCAGAACAGCAATTAAATGGACACTGTGGTTTTACTTTCAACCCAGTTGTAGATTTATTTCCAATCCATGAGAGCTTGAACAATCATTTCTGTTTGATACATACTGTTTCTATACAAATTAAATTGAAGCTGAACAGCTTCGTCTTCCTTCCATTATGTATTATGTATCATATTGTACCATATCGTGTATTATACTATATACATGTTGGGCTGGTTACTCAAAAATGTCATTTATTCTTCATTACTTATTACTCTTTTCAAAAGTAATTTATTTAATTTTATTTCACTTTTAGCTTAGCTACACTACTTGTTATATTACTTTCCTGATAATTGTGTCCCTTTTCCCCAAAATTCAGACCTACAACGATTAAAATCAAGTTTTGTTTGTTAAAATCAAAAGTAATGGAACTATTTCCAGCCGCTGAATGAAAGCGTTTCCATCTTCCAACCTAGTCTCCTCCACAATTACAAAAATGAATCCATCCACATGAAGGATGTGACTGGATTGATAGATTTAAAATCAGTAGGGGATGCCAAAAAAAGTAATGTTGTCACTAATTATTTTGGAGGGTGTAACTGTAATGTTATTAATGAACTCTATTAGTAAATAATTACACTACTAGTTAATGGGTAAAGTAATATTATTTATGTAATATTATTACTAGTAATGAGTTCCTTCCCAACACTGATTTCATATTGTGTGTAATCTTTTAAAAATACATATATTTAGTTCATTTTATTTCTTTATCGGCACAGAGACACAGCTGAAGTTTTTACCCTTTTAAACCCCTCAACCACCTGGTAGTTTATCTTTAACAATATATATTTTGAAATGGATCATATGCCTTGTTTGTAAAATCTAGAGATAATATCTGAAAAGTAAGTAATTAAAGCTGTCAAATAGCTGTGGATTGGAAGTATAATGGAAGAATTTAAGTACTTGTAAATGTAAATGTATGTTACATTCCACCACAAATGAATCTAAATCAAATCACGTAGGACCTCCACCTCCTTTTCAGTTCTCTGGAACTTTAGCTCAGCCTATTGCTCAGTTCCTGGTAAGATTTATTTTGCCGACTCTCCCACCGTCTGTCTCTTTCTCTTTCTCACTCTCCCAGGCTGAATGTGAAACCATGGTACCTAAAGTCAGTGACCGTCATGTGGGAAAACTCTAATGAAATGCATAGTGTAAACACTCATTGAGAAGTAACAGCCCCTACCCCACTGTTTCCGCCCATTGCACCATCCAGTGGTTGGAACAACTGCTTTTGGGAATTTGATGGGAATGTGCGTTTTACACAACACAGAGCCAGCTCAGAGAGGGGAAGGGGGTGTTGGATTCGAGTTGAAGAGGAAGGGCTAGCGGGTCAGACACGGTCCTCAGTATGTCCCAAATCATCCACATCGGGCTGTGGCTTCTCTCCTGTGTTCTCACCTGTCAGTGGTTCCTCAAGTCAAACAAACACCAGGAAATTGTAGTAGGAAAAGCTTGATTGGACAACTTTTACTGCTGTTATATTTTCTGCTAATTTAAGCATTTCTGTGTCCTTTGACCACTTCTGTTTCAGTTCATCGAGCTATTTCTGCAGTGACTGAACATCACACTTGTGTTGTCTCTGGCTGCCTTTGACCAAATGACCCCACTCTTTGTACTTAGACATACAACTCTATGGGTTGCAGATAAAACTATACACAGTGTCCCGTTGGAACATTAAGCCTCCAATCTGTGATATATTTCTTTCAAAGTTCATAAAAGGAGAAGGAAAGTGTGACTCTTCCCTTCCCGTATATTCCAGTTGGCTCCAATGGGAGAGGTCTGACCTATCTCACACTCTGAAGGAGCAAAGGGACCCAGTCGTCTTTTATTTCGACATGAAAAACAATGAGTCATCAAATCACAGATGTAGAACGGGTTGCAACGTCTTGGCCAATCACTAGAGGGGATGAATTGCACAGAAAGACAAATAAACATGTGTCAGTTTTTGTTTGTTTATGACACTGGGGTCAACGTTTAGACAGGATTTTGCTTTCTGTTCTCTAACAAAATGTACTTATGGGGGTTGTTTGGTTGAGTATCCTTCATTATTTTCAAACCTGAAAATATGCACAATTTATATATAATAAAAAGTCAAAATGAACCTATGAAGTTGATCCAGACAACTACTGTTCAAGGCGATCTATTAGAGAATGACACAACTTCAAGGAGCACAGCCTTGCAAGGCCTCCAGGCAAAAAACTGTAACATGTGTTGGGACAAGTAAGTGCATCAATTTTATGACACAGACAAATTAATTGTTGTTGTTAGAAATAGTCAGCTGCTCTTTGCTCATGGATAACAAAAACAAAACTCTTTAAACTACACAAAATACACACAAATTAACCAAATCAATCAAACTCACTCTGGGTGCTTGTTTGAAAGTGCCAAGCAGCCTTATAAACATAAAGCGACACTTCTGTACGACACTTATGCGTCTGGCATAATGAAACAATCACGCGTGGCTTTGACCTCTCTCCTCCTGACTCATAATTAATGGTAGAAAGAGGTGAAGGAAGATCCCGCCCCGCAGGCTGGGAGGGGTGAGAACTGAGAGAGTCACAGAGCTGGAAAGAGTCACAGTCCGGAGAAGGAGCCGAAAAGTTCAGGACATAACACATGTGGATGTTTTTTGAGTTTCCAAAGTGTTTTGGAAATTGTTATAAGGGCGAGGACACAATATTGACTTTTCACCTCAAGTGAAAAAAAATCACATATTTTGGACCAGGGCATCATTACGCAGGAAAGAAAAAAAACCTTCCAGATTCTGCGATCTTTCCCCACCACCGGGATGTTTAGATGTGAGAGCAGTGACTTCAGGTACGTTAAGTTATTGTAGCTGTGGTAAAGAACTGTAGAGAATGTAGTATTTTATACTGCAGGTTTTTCCGTTTCAAAATGACTCCTCCATTTAACTTTGAGCAACTTTCAAAACAGGGAAAGTTGCTCATACCTCCATGAGTAGGCGTGTTGTTTGAACTTAAATTGTGTTCAAACGTTGGCAATTATTTTACTTTGATAAACGAGAATTGCCTTTGTTACAGGCTGTATTGATTCGTGGTACACATAATTAAGAGTAATTATGAGGAAAAACCTGTTCATCCAATCTTACACAAACCCTAAAGCATTATTTCAAGATTATTATTGTTTATTTTCGAGTCACAGCCACTACTATCACTGTAGAAATGTATTCAATCAGAAGTGATAATGCCAAAGGATTTATAAACAGCAGTAGCTGCCACAGCTGTTTGTTCAACAGGCTGCTATTAATGGGGGCAAAAAGAAAATGAGAACTTGTAAAGTCCTTATCTATAGGTTCTTCTTTATTTATTAAATAGTTCTCTGTGTGTTTTATGTCATTTATGTATTTTAAGTGCTGCTGTCATCTTGGCCAGAGAACCTCTATTAGAGAGATATTTAATCTCAGTTATGCACTTTTCTAGATTTTTTCTTACATAAATTAACCAAAATGTTGTTGAATGTAACTTTTGTGACTTCAAGTGTTATAAAAAAATATACATTTTGTAAGTAAATGTTATGTCTTAACTGCATTTGATTGGCAGGTCCTTTAAGAGGCTCTAAGATGACAGCTGTGACCCTGCCAGGTTGAGCAGCCTCAGCCTCCCTCTGCTGTGTCCAGTGCTGTGGCGCCCTCTGCTGTGTGACCGGGGAAGGCCAGGAAGGGCAGGCAGTATGGGGAACATACTGGAGGAAGGGATGAACACTGTCATCGTCAGCCACTACAACCACTCGGGGAAGTGGGACCGGCCTCGCAGCAGTGGGGCCTGTAAGATGGTTGTGCTGCTCTTCATCTGCGTGCTGATTGTTCTGGAGAACGTCACGGTCCTGCTCGCTCTCTGGAGGAACAAGCGCTTCCACAGCCGCATGTACTTCCTCATTGGTAACCTGGCTCTATCAGACCTGCTGGCTGGTGTGGCCTACGTGGTTAATATCTTTACCTCAGGGCGCAACACCTTCTTCCTGACACCAGTGCAGTGGCTGGCCAGAGAAGGGAGCATGTTTGTGGCCCTCAGTGCATCCACGTTCAGCCTTCTGGCCATTGGGATTGAGAGGCACATGACTATGGTGCGTTTGCGCCCATGTGAGACAGCAGGGCGGGGGAGACTTCTAGGTCTGCTGGCAGCCTGCTGGCTTGTGTCAGTGCTGCTCAGTGCCCTGCCCAGTTTGGGATGGAACTGCCTGAACAGTATGGACTCCTGCTCCACAGTGCTGCCACTCTATGCTAAGAGTTACGTGGCCTTCTGCATCAGTGTGTTCAGCGCCCTGTTGGTGGCCATCATCATCCTCTACATAAGGATCTACCGCCTGGTGACCTCTAGTGGCCGCAGGGTGAGCAGCCGGCCTTCAGAGCGCTCACTGGCCCTGCTGCGGACAGTGGTTATTGTTCTTGGAGTGTTTGTTCTGTGTTGGACCCCTCTCTTCCTCCTGCTGCTGCTGGATGTTGGCTGTAGCCCAGATAAGTGCCCTGTGCTTTACCAGGTGGACTGGTTCATTGCCCTGGCTGTGCTCAACTCTGCCCTCAACCCTCTGATATACACTCTGTCTAGCAGGGAGATGAGGGCGGCGTTCTTCCGGCTGCTGTGCTGCTGTCAGACCAACATGGAGTCCTCTGGGACTCCTGTGGCGGGCAACCCCCACCTGGGCACAGTCATCCCCACAGCAGAGAATAGCAAGACCAGTTTGGGTGGAGGAGGGGGCAGTGGGGCTGGCAAGTCCACGCTGAACAGAGGGAAGGTTTCTACACCTATCAACTCTGAAAACAAGCATGGAGATCTCTCAGCCACTGCTGTGCCACATCCTTCTGGACCTGCAGACCTGCTCTCGGCTGTGCTTGTGAAGGCTGGGGCGCTGCCGCCCCTTGGCAAGTTCTGAGTGGAAGCACCTTAATGAGGCCTTACAGTCACACATATGTAGACATAGAACTGACATAGTCCTGCTATTAGCCACTTTTTGTTAATGCACTATGGCCAGTGTAGCATGGATAGGATGAAGGAATAATATTCAGTTGGAACCACATAAGTGTAGATTGCAAATCCGAGTAAAATCAAATTCATCCAAAGCCACTATTTACAACAACTCAACACTATTATTCACAACACTAGAGTGACTGATATATTGTGTTTGTCTTACACAATGATTAATGTTGACTTTTCAAAACTATGAAATACAATAAGACAGTTTCACAGACATGGACTAAATCAAACCCCAAAATACATCTCTTGGCTTAATTAATGTCTGTGGAACTAGTATCTTGTGTCTGTCAGTGTGTTTATTTTTATTTTGTCATTATAACAGCAGAACAGATCAAATTGGGGCACTTTATTTGCATGTGCTATATGCAAGTACTCTTAAAACACCTGCATTTCCATCACAACATGACTTGGTAAACTTTATTTTCTGTGAAAACATTTGCCATTTTAATACTATTGATATAATTTTTTGGTATAGTTTGTATGCATAAAAAACATCATGGTACTACGGTTTTATTATTGATTTTGTTATGATTTGAGCTGCACTGAGAGAGAAAACAAGACTAAAAGTGTATTTGTCAGACAAGCGGCCTCATGAGGCTGTGATGCTCATTACGCACCAGAAAACATATTGTTGGATGACTGAAAAATGTAGAGACAACATTGCCATGTTTTTACTTAAACCAGTAGTGTTCAACTTCTGTACAGTTACCAGAACTGACTTATCTTTCATTGGTTGAAGCTCCACTCTGTCAGCACCAGCTGCACTGTGAGCTGAATTAGCGTGGCTAATAACTACACTCATGGACATTTTTGCTCCTCATCAGCACATCTAGAAACCACTCACACGTCAACTAACCACTAGAGAATAGGAGTGTTGGATGTGAATTATTTAATGGCGGTAGACAGCAAATTACATTTCTGTCTAGGGTGGTGTAGTGCCTGATACCATTATATAGCAAATAAAATAAAATCCTATTCCCTTTTATGAGATTTTCACACGTGTCATTTTTTTATATTAAATCTTGCTTGCTTTTAACCCTCTTCCTCTCATCCTGATCCGGTCTCTGTGTTGATCCTCTGCATAAATTGTTGAGTTACATATAAAGGATCTAGGATCTTTTGCACCACATGGATGGTACATGTTTGCTCCTATCGCTCTGTTGTTGTCGAGGTTCACATGAAATTTTCAGTCATACATATATTAAAGCAGGAATGATTCGTCAGTTTATCATTTGCTATTCAGAGAGTAGAAAGAATTGTCATGTGATTTAACCTGCAGCACTGATCTAATATCCTAATGGGAAGCTGATTGATGCTCTCTTATTGCCATTCATAGGTAGACCTCGTTCAGCCAGTGATGAATAATGCAGAGAAACTTGTGATATTTATTTAACAAGGGGTTTCCATCTCAGTGAGGTCAGGTGGCTATTAGTCACGAAAGGTATACTGCACAAATCTCACTTTGAAGAGCTTTCTGTCATTGTGAAGTATGCCCCGTCATTGTATAAATTATCTGGAACTTGACAAAGCCCAGTGAATAAGATAACCGAACAGTTTGGCTTAGGTTTTTGTTACATTTAAACAAAACAAACTGAGGTGGCATTATTTAAAGGGTTTAGTTGTCAGTGTTATGAATTTTGAGAAATCAGATCCTTGAAGTGGAAGTGGACATTGTTTTTTTAGATGCTGATAACTAAAGACATTCGATTCATGTGTTTGTTTTTGTTGCAACAAACCCGCAGCAGTGAAGGTTGCTTTGCCTTGAACCGAGAGATGAGCTGATTGCAGCAGAGTTTGTTGTTCATACCACATTGCACAGCATAGACCAGACAGGAGCTGACAGACTGGCATTTCATACTCACCTCAGCTAAAGGATGTGTCTCTGCTCCGCACCTCCGGATCTGATGAAAAAGGACAGCGAGGACGCAATACCAGCTGAGCATTTCCAGCTTAAAGGTCACTGACTGCTTCCTGTCAGAAATGTTTGAACACTTTTCCTGAATATGCCATTAATAAATGGCAAAATGTTTGTAGTCAGGGAAGCCCCCCCCTCCCCCCTTATGAATCCCTGCCCCCCCTTATGAATCCCTGCCCCCCTCTTCCATTTGAACACCATAATTATCCTGATCCCAATCTTCATTAGACTTACTTAGATTAAAAAGTAAAGTTGGTTTGCAAATAATTAAAATAAATTGGAACTTTTAATTGTTGGTGATTTAGCTAACCAGGTGATCCACTCATATTTAAAACATATGACAGTAGACTTACTTTAGAAAGTATATAGGCATTGTTGCAAGATTTCAGTTTTACTTTTAAACAATCACATGGAGAGGTAAGAGCTAATAAATACTAGGTGTGCTAGCTGATTGCTCAGTGGCATCAGTTAGCTTTGTACCTTGCGCTTGTGTCCCCATGTTCAAAATAAATGCTGCAAAAGTGCCCTCTCTGATGCCCCAACGGATGAAACATGATAAAGTGCCCTATGTGGTGGCCCAGTGTGCAAGAAAACACAATGCAGTTCTGTCTTGGGTGCTCTTCTAGTGGAGAAAATGCAATGCCATACTGGCTGCCCTACATACTAGGAAAGGGTTTGGAACTGTTTCACTGTAAATGCTTCACGACTTACTGCCCGCTGTTGCTCCAACGCATGCAGCCGGTGCCCTTTTTATTTTTTCCGCTCTTGCTCCACCAGGATCTGAGCCCCCTACTGATACCTTGGAAATACAAAATATCTTGGATCAGAAGTTCTCTCTGTAGTCCCAATCATGTCAAAAACTATATTGTGTGAAATGGATTCCCAAAAAAGGAAAGGTCATGATAAAATATTGTTAACTTCCAGTAACATCAAGATGAACGGTTGATCTAAATTATTTATCCAACTACCATTTAGTAGAAAATTTGTTGAACAAATCTTAGAAATGTCTGTCAAAAATGAAGAAGAATGTAACCAAAGAAGGAGTTATGAGAGTGCACTAAAGGTCTTAAACAGAATGTATTTAAAAGCTCAGTTATATATCACCTAAAATGTCCTAACAGTAATGGTGATTACATGAAACTGAACACTGCTTAATTTCCAGATTAAGTAAACACACAAGAGGATCCAACACTGCTGAGTGTGAATATTTAACATATCATTTGATGAATTCAAATATGTGATTGATATAAAGATTCTTCCTGTTCAATCAGACTTGACATGATGAACAAAGCTGAACAAAGATAACTCGTGTAAAATCAATCTATGGACAACACAGACCAAAAAAGACCAAAAAAGGAAAATAAATTAGTCACACAATAAAGATGAGGCTTACAGACGCAATATTGCACATCCCAACTGCTGTCATCCTCGGACTCCGTCGTTTCATCAGCCTTTCCTTAAAAAATAACAGCTTAAACATGTTCATTGAACATGTATAATAAAATAAATTCCTTTTCATTTTAATCTTTTTCATGTCCCCAAATTTCCTGCTGTGACAGATTCCATTTCTCCAAACACCTGAAACAAACACCATTTAATGGCTGCATGTGCTAACTGGGTCAAACACCTTAATAAATCATGTTAACTAAATAGCCGTCACCAGTCTTCTTTGAGGATTTAGACATGGCGGATTTGTGTCATTCTCTGTGCACAATGCCTATTTGCATATGACTAATGTGAACACGACAGAGGACAAGAGAATCACACCACCCTCTGTCATCATGATCCTGGCTTTAAACTGCTGTGTGGTGAGGAAGAGAGCATGCATGTGTGTGTGTGGGTGTGTGTGTGTGTGTGTGTGTGTGTGTGTGTGTGTGGGTGGGTGTGTGTGTGTGTGTGTGTGTGTGTGTGTGTGTATCCATTTGCATGTGTCACGTTCATTGTGCAGACAGACGTGTATGTGTGTGCGTCCGTGTGTGTTTGAGAGAAAGAATAAAGACTCCATCTGGTCCGAGCCACTGAATGTGCCAGTATGAAACACTTCTGCCATTCTGAAGTCCCCATTTGAAGCAGCTCGGAGGTGGAGTGGGGCCAGTCGGGGAGCAGCAAGGGGTCCCATTTGAGGCGGCCACTCACGCAGGGAGCCCCCAGCGGAAGCCATTCTCCCCTCTACAGCTGAGTTGTACCACTCTCACCAGAGGAGACACACACATTCATCTGGTGTGTGATGATTCTCCTCTCCTACTTTCACCTCCACAGCTCTCTGATTCAATACGGTGTAATTACACGGGCAACAAAGAGAGTGGAGACCCGGGCAGACTTTGGTGATAAGCTTGCAGGGATCAGAAGGCTTTATCCAGGGAGCAGCTGGGGGAGCGAAGGCAAAGGTCATTTCGTAGGAGGATAACTGAAGGAGCTGGCTGAGACTTGGCTTGGTGGACACCTATTCCAGAATCCCCCTCAATATCCCCCTGCCATTAATTCTCCGGTCTGGTGCTGAGCAAGTGGACTCCAGTATATTTTGATCTTATAGTAATTTCAACATCTAAAATACGTCATTTCTACATTTTCTTTTTCCTGAAGCAACAACAAAAACATCATTTGCTGGGATATCTGATCAAAACACAATACCTCTGGTTATTGGTACAGAGACATAAGAAAAAGCAGCAAGAGAGAAACTGAAACCAGCAACCATTGTTTGCTTTTTAAATGACCTAAATTTCAATTAATTTTTTTTCAATTGAGAAATCAATGTATGTATTGTTATTTATGTTTTTCTCTTGAGGACAGAAAAAGCAGCGTGCAATTGATCGCCATGTCAGACACATATTGTACCGTCATGCTGCTTTTTCCACCTTAAAATAACTATAGTACTATAAACGTACTATATACAGTATGTGTAGTGCTATATGAAGAGGTAGTCTGGTCCTCATTGTCAAGAAGAAGAGAACTACACACTGCCTTCTAGTATTTTGCACCATTGAGACATAAACATCTCATGCTATTACATGAATTTAATCACATTTCTTGACCTTTTTAGAGATGTGTTGATTGTTTCGGATGGTATTTGTGTGTGACTGGTGAGTTTTGTAATGTGCCTTATCTGTGTCACCTTTCTTCTGAGATGAGAGATGTTGACTATCTGATTAAATAAAGGTTGTACACTGGATTTGCCTATCTCTGCAATGCCATCCTATCATAACAGATAGATGGCAGGAGTGGATAAGCAATCTCTTCCAAATTCTTCCCTTAAATATCACTCTCGCCCTCAATCCCCCAAAACAGCAGCTGCTCTCTCTCCAAACCTTCTCTGATTGCAGTCTTCTGGCAGGGCCTGACGGCATGCACACACCTGCTCACACTGACCTCCAATCTATCTCCTGCACGCCTGCCACAACTGCAGGGATTAGCATGTCTGGGATAGGGGATAAGTAAGAGGGAGGATGGCGGCCTTTTAGTCTGACATGTGTGTCCCGTCTCCCTTACTTGTGGCATTGAGCATGTGTGCACAGCTGGCTGATTCCCTGCCCTGAAAGACCTCAAATGTGAATCTCATGTAAGAGTTAAAAGCCCTCTCTAAAACATTATACTCATGACTAAAAAAAAGTTAAAGTTCAGAAAAAATATTTTCAGGTATAACATACCAAGAGGAACTAGGGATTTTAAGGGGGCACTGCACAATTTTAGTCATTAAGTCCAGTTTAGTTGTCAGGAGGAATGATACTCAGCCTGTGAAAACAGTTGTATAACAGTTGTCATCTGTGGTTGGGGAGGCTGAAGAAAACAAGGTGTGTGTGTATATTGACATTTTCAAGGTTTGACTAGTGACAAAAGTTTCTGCCTCTCATGGTTTGATTTTGGAAATTCCTTTTTAAAAACCCGTCCCTCAAAAGTCGCCCCAATTTTGTGTAAATGCAGTGCTAAATTGATGCATTACCCTTATTTTAATATGAAGTCAAAATCAGTTTGTCACTGGAGGATTTAAATGTTTTATCTTATCTGATCTTTAGCCTCGGATGGTCCCCTGAGATTACATTTTTCTTTCATAGAGTCCTGGGCAAAATGGCATT